GCAGTGAAATTAGATGTCTCAAAGTGACAGATCTGATGATGTTTCACTAAGAGCCGGGACATGAGGGCAGCACAAGGGGGAAAAAAACACTGAATGAAAACGCTATGAACACAGCTAGCTGCACCCAACATCTGTTTCCTTTGGCTAAACTAAATCTGTGGAAGTTATTGGTGGGGACATGTCCACACCAGTCCTTCAGAAAGTTACGCCTGTGGCTGGAACAGACATGGTTACTGATAGGTCCTTTGGATCTAATTTCATTGTTTTTCTTTACAAATTCTGTTTTACAAATTATTTAAAATACAATAAGGTGAAAGTATTGAGATAGGAACCCAGTTTTCATCTGCTAAATTTTTTTTCAAAACAATTTTAAAAAATTACTCTAATTTTTACAGCTGAATTTATCAGTTTTTCAGTCATTGTCTTATTCGAACATAAAGTTGCATCCAGTTTTAAACCATAGGACGTAAACCGTCACTTTAATATGAAACAAAGTAGAGCATCCAGTCTGCGGCCTGCATGATGCTGCAACCAGCACCACCGTCCATTTTGCAGCTGCCCTCTTTGACAAAGCAAAACCTTTTTTATAGAAAATGTTTTTGTTCCGTTTTGGTCATCTCAGCCACAGGGACAATAACAATGTAATAACTTATTTTGGAGCAGTAAAGATGAGTCATTTAACCATGGCTGCAGCAGCCTGATGCTAAAGGGTTGTTACACTCTCAGATGGCATTTTTACAAGACTTCTCATTAATATTATTATATTTTAGGACGGATCTGGATAAAAGGCGTCATGCAGACGCACCAATGGAAAGATTGTGATCAGATACAACTTTAACAATGTACATAATTGATTATTGATTATGAAAAATGGTCAGATGCTTCTCTTAACATTTTCAGGAATGCATTGACTTGGGCAAAATCTTTTTAAAACTTTTAAAGGACCTCTTTTTTCTGTTGTGTCTGTGGCTAAGCCATAAATTGGTGCAACTTGCTCCTTTTTTGTCCCGTTTGCCATGTTTTTTTTTTAGCGTGAATTTAGTACAATCTGTTTTGTTAATATTTTGTGAATATATTTTAATAGGTGAAAGAAAAAGAGGCATCAGGCTACCACACTCCTTCGTACATTTGAATAATGCAACAGACCTTTTTTTTTTTTTTTTTTTTTTACTTTGACATGATCGCTTCAAAGTTTAAACAAATCACTTAAAGGTATAGAGGAGGGTATTTTATTTCCGGGTGGATCATCTAAATAAGTGGTCCACCTAATTGTCAATCATTCTGGTGATATGTTTCCATAAGGCCGTCCTACATGCTCGTCGCACTAGCTATCTTTTTAGGTCCATGCGCACTTTCAGGCGCATGCACAGTGGTTTTTCAGAAAGTCATTGAACCGCACTTTTCTCACCGCAGTTCTTTGAAAATGGCAGAGGGTCATAAGAGAAGTAGTGTCTACAAAGTGTATGTGAAGAAAAGAAGGCCTCAGAATGCTTCATATGGAGAGGTCTCCTCGCAAAGCATTATGCTGTCACAGCGGCGACTAATAGCAAAGATGGCGCAGGCACCGTGCGCTGGAGGAGGAGTTATGTGACCAACGGGGAGCAAAGAGTAGTGAGCATCTGTTCCAATAGTAAGTTAACTGAGTTCACTATAAAGTCCACTATATAATCCCCGCTCTATATAGTGATGGAGGGATTTAGGGGTTAGAGTGGATGTTCAGACACAGTAAGCTTGCATGAGCTATGAGAACTGCAACTTTTGAACAGAGCGTGCACGAGGAGAAATGCGCTCGTGCACGCATCATCTGCTTCTTAGTCCTTTGCCTTTTCATTGTGAAACATTTATCAGAGTCCCCTTCTTTTCTAAACCTGTTAGTTAATAAACGAACATCCATCAAGTCTCATTAATAATGGGAAATGGATTTATCGACTGACGGCTCCAGTAAAGACAGTGGAGTTTCCAACAGGAAGTGCTCAGTGGCACTTAAATCACCAAGGGTATTCTGAATTTTAGACAGGAGTGTTTATATGCCTCCAATTGCCATTATTAAAAAAAAAAAAAAAACATTTCTTAATCAAGGGCTTTCTTTCCACTACTTAGCGCTGACGTGCTTGTCTCGGTCATATGAAGCATCTTTATCGTAGAGTGAGTTTTTAATGCTGGAGTTCCCTGTTAACTTTAGAGGAGACATGATATTTCTCAAAGAAAAGATGGGAGGAAAATATTTGGTTAGTGTCTTAAACCACAGCTGTTCTCTGGGTAAATATTTCAGTCACATCCAAATGAGTCCTAATAGGAGTTATTAACCTAAAAATGTTCCTAAAAGAGCTTTAATCGAGGTTAAGGTTTGTTGTTATTGTCATTAATAATGTCAGCATAACAAATTAATAAAGGCTTTATGTTTCCTCACACGATAGTTAAAATGACTCTATCCCAACCATCGAGTATAAATTCACATGATGACATTAAGCTGTCTGCATCTATTTCACTGAGAGTTTAATTTTTCCCACACACTTTGAATGCATCATAAACCCCTCCTCCAAACTGCATTATTTTCTGCATGGCACGCACACTGCAGCAACCGGCAAACAAAATATTGCGACAGCAGGTGTTTCAGTGGAGCGATACATGGCAATGGTTTGGATCTCCCACCCAGGATGTTGAACTAAAGGCGCAAAAACCATTGCTGCAAAAGGTAGGAGTACACATTTATTACAGCCCCTAAAAAGTCAATGAAGAATGTTGTAAACTTTGTATGCCAGCATCTCCCCGCACACATATTTAAATGTTAAATAAATCAGCCGATGATGTTAGCATCGTCCTTTGAAAAAAGCTATCCTATATGAGAGGATAACGAAGAGGTGGAGGGAGATCACGAGCGATGTTTATTACGTGATCTAAATGTTTTTTAGATGCTCTAATACCGCTGATGTGATGTGGTCTTGTTCAGGGGTTTTGCAGGCGTTGGCAATGTTTTCAATTTTAAAACTTTCCTAAGAACAATGCAGTTAGTTTAGAGATGCTTTAATAATGCTCTAATTTTTGGTAGTGTTGCACTGTTCCGGTTCCCATTTTGGGGCGGGGCTCCATTCCGGCCTTAAATTTTTGTTTTGGTTTTGGTCTCTTCGCGTCCCATCGGGTAGTGCTCTGATTCTGTTTGCGAGCCGTTGTTTATTTATTTTTTGTCATTCCTTGTAGGTGTGCAATGTTCTGTTGTATTGGTTTTGTTTTGTTTTTTTTTTTTTTTTGCTTCGGTAGGGTGGGGCTTGGCTTGGTCATGTTGTGATTTCTCTTATCTTCCATTCGTGTGGTGTTCTTTTTTTCTTGTCTCCCCCCTCACTTTCATTTCGATTGTATGGTTTTGGGCGGTTCTTTCCCGGCCGGTTTTGGTTTTGTTTGCCAAAAAATTGCATCAGCGCATCACTAATTTTTGGACAGTATCTCAACTTTAGTTCTTGTAATTTGAGGTTAATGTAGTTTTTTTATTCTGCATTTTTTCATATATATACACACAAATGAGCCCTTTTTTTATTTCACATTTTATTTAGTATTTGTTTACTGTGGTCTTGTTAAAGCTCTAATACTGACAAACAAAAACATGATGTGGCAGTATTATATGTGAAAAGCTTTGAGCTGGTTAAAATATATACATATTTTTTATTTGAAACCAAAAGTTTGAATGAGTATATGAGTGCAATGTTATGCACTCTATTGTTTTTGAAGGTAATTTAAACATATCATGATATATCGCGATATAGCCCAAATATTTCGTGATATTAGATTTTCTTCAGCCCTGCTAAGGCGGGAAGATACATTTTTTTAGATTTATGGACACAGCTTTAAAAGGTTTGGTTGAATTTTACGTACCGACTTTGTAGTGAACACAGCCTTCCAGATCCCCTACGGTGGTCCAGCCCTGTTTCTTCTCCACTTCAGGATCGTTGTGAAGGATCTTGTTCCTCAGCCAGGACAGGTAGTACACACGCAGCTTGTTCTTTTTACCTGGCATAGAACAAAAGATTGTTTGTTTGTTGTTTTATTTTTTGTTTTAATCCAAACCATCTTTATTTTAAAGCACTTAGGGTGCAACATACTAGTTAAGTCCATATCAGTGTGTGCAAATACAGTTCTAGAGATATATGGAACCAAAAGCCCTACGAATAAAATTGACCCCATATCAATTAAAATTATATCATTTTGTTACAGTTAACCTCATCCCCATTTATTGTGTCTAAAATTCATCTGCAGGCATCATTTCTAGTGAAACACTGTTTTTACTTTATTTTAATAATCTGATAGTGTGATGAGTTAGTTACTTATGCTTTGATTCTTCAATTTCTCTGGAATATTAAACGTCTGCCTCTTTTTAAAGGAATCTGTAGCAGATTTTATATCTTGAGTTCAAGTTTACACAGATGTGCTTTAAAAGTTTTTATACAGGAATGAGCAATTCTAATTTAATGCTTTTTAATGCTCTTAGAAATAATTTGAATGGCATCAAAAAGTACCCATGACTCTCTTATATACATGGCAAAGTCCTTCATCATCTTTACCGTCGACAATTCCTTGATTTCCAGCCACTTTTGTTGCCATTTTCCCATTCTCTAGCTTTTTCTCCGTCTCGAGCTGCTTTTCCGAACATACGGCTTTACGATCAACCGGAAGCAGTTACGCGCAAATATATCGCGATATAATATATCTGAGAAATTGTTTTTATAATTAATTTTTTAATTTTATTTTTATATAAATCTGCTAGCATGTTCTTGTGCTAAATGAAAATTAGCCCCTTACTTTTTCATTTCTAACTTTGACTTCCCCCTCTGGCCGTCAGGAAAAATTAACAGAAAATCCGCAACTGAACCACATGGTTCAAAGCCTGGGAATAAAGTAGCTGCTTATAATCTGAAAAATATGGGAACTTATTTTATAGTGCGGGATGATAAAAAAGGCTTGATTAAGTGATATTTGTCAAACAGAGAACAATACTTAACAACATCATTGCTAATAGACATACATTTGTATCTCTGCTTCTGTCTCCTTTAACCCTAGTTGCTCAAACTCAGCCTGGTTCTGCTGCAGGTTTCTTCCTGTTAAAAGTAAGTTTTTCCTCTCCACTGTCGCTACAAGCATGCTTAGTGTGAGGGATTGCATTTAAGTCTATGAGTCGATGCAATCAACTGGTTTTCCTTAGACAGAAAACTTTGAATCAGTTTGATTGGATGATCTGGTTGAACTGTAAAGTGCCTTGAGTTGACACGTGTTGTGAATTGGCGCTATATATAGATAATAAACTGAATTGAAATTGATTAGGTATTATTTACATATGCTACATATGATTTAAATAAAAGCAGATTAAACTGAAATGTTTCTATGGGCTATTTTAGGTTGATATATTCTGATATTAATTATTTGGCTGATACTGGACCGATTTCTGAAATTAATATCTGATAAACACAGTCCTAATTAATGACATATGTCTAAATTATAAAGCAGTGAGAAAAACCTGGTTGAGAAGGATTAAAAACAAACATAAAATCAGAAACAGTGTTTCCTCATTTTTTTATATATCAAATAAATGTATTATTAAAAGACAAAGAAGACATCCGGTGGAAGACAGGCTCCAATATGATTTAAGTGATCGGCAGTTGAGTTGATCCATCTCCCTGAAAAACCATTATTCTCTTGCGTTTTATAAGGTTTGTGTAACATGGACACCTTTATTTACGTTGTCTCCTGGCAATTTCATTACATCAGATCTTCAGGATGTGGTCTACAAGCTCACAGAAATTTCTTGTCACGACACAAACGGCTTGACATGCAGAAGAGCAGCTGTGATGCGTAAACACTTTTTACAAGTCGGAAATGCAAATGAGTTTCCCAGAAGGACACGGACGTCTCTGCGGCGTTTCCTTCCATCATGGAAAAGCTCTGCTGTGTGTCAGAATCACAAAGTGTACGCAGACAACATGTTCCTCACGCAACATCCGGTTAGCTCAAAATATATGTTGTGACACGGCGCGTGGGATATTGAGAAAGAGGAGAAGGAAGGGACACTTTCAGTCTGAGAAAATTGGGTTTAAATTGGTCTGAAACTCGTGTGTCTTTGCATCTTTTTTTTTTTTTCTTTGAATGCTGCACGTTTTACTTGCACTTAATGTTCCAGTACTATAAACCATAGAGAAGTAGACTAGACTGAGAGACGGATAGAAAGAAGTGAAACTAGTTTTTAGTTTCAAACTCAATTTGAAGTTCTCTATATTTTCTGTATCTCTGACTATTTTTTTGTTGGAAAATAGTTTTTATCTGAATACACCTCTGTGAGGATGCTTACCTGATATAGTTACGAGGACATTGAGTCCCTCGAGGACATCCATCTGCTGGAAGCGCCGTCGGTTGATCAGTGGGTAAACTTTTCCCTGACCGCTGCGATCCAGCAGCATCAGGCCGCTCTCTGTCCCCACCAATAAGTTCACACCTTTAAGACACACAATGAAATGCACATGAGGCTAAAAATAACAGCATGAATGGTGCTAATCTAAGATACCAATTCTGTGAATTTATAGACTTTACTGAGGGATCCCAAAACAAGAAATCTGAATTTGTTGCCTTTGTTTGCCAGGTAGAACAGTGCTTTGCAAAAAAAAAAAACCAAAAAAAAATACTTCGAACTTTTCAATATTTTGTCATGCAAAAACCATAAATATTAAGGCAACTACAATGTGTAGCTTTTGTTAACAGACTGCTGCATACTGCTGCTAACTCTACTAGCTTTCAAAATATAGACATTTTTTATCCTGATCTTAAGAAGATAAACAGTACAGTTAAAATGTGCTTTTCCAGTGTTGCTGTAAGTTAAAAATGTCTGAATCTAAGTCAGACACCATTTAGTGGAAAAAGTTCAGAAAATAATTAAATTTTGCTGGTTGATGTGACGCCATATGTCAATCCATCATGGAGGCACGTCAGCTACTGGCCAATCAGACTCGTCCCAAAGTGGAACCACCCTCCCTTACAGGAGCAGCTGAGCCCCTCTAGGGATTTCATACAGGTATTAGGAATGCTAAGTGGAAATCTAATAAAATGCTAAAGGCAACATGCAATTCAGACATGCTCTGCCCCATAGTATTTAAAGGGGTGATAGAATGATTCTATAGGGCATTTGGTGCTGGTCCTTAAGGTCTCTGAATAGGGTGTGTAACATTGATTGGGCTGAAAATGGCATATTTGCTGTTCCATGAGCCCTAATGCAAGCCTGGTTATAAGCCCTAGAATGAAACGACAGGTTTTCTTCCTTTTATGGTATGCTCATGAATATTTAGATGAGCTGTGTGCTGATTGGTTGGTTTACAACGAGCGAAGCAGCTGAGCAAAGACGCATCATAGCAACAAGCACTTACTCAATGAAAAATCAAAATTGTTGATATAGTAGGGTGA